AAAAGAAACCACTGCTGGTGGTTAAAAATGCAAACGGTTTTGATTATAATGGCTTGACAATCAGCCAAAGATATGACTAGGGGGAAAAACACAGCAAGGCAGCTATGACCAGAATGGAAGAAACAAGGAAAAACACATGGCTTGACTTCAGAGCAGAAAATTGACTTAGGCTTTGCATAAACGACAGCATACCTCCAAGCTTGCCTGATCCACAGTCTGCCTGGAATGAGAACATGTAGTCTAAAAGCAGAGCCTATTAAAAGGCATAATGTTTCTAAACAGCATCTGTTACGTACTAATAAGCATTACTTAAAGGACACAGGCCTTAAATTGCTACCCAACGTGCACTTATCTGAAACTGCTGCAAGGCAATCATTACAAAAATGTCACATGACACCATGGGAATTTGAATAATATAAAATGTTTTTATTTAGTTTGGCTTGAAATCATTACACGGAAAAAATATGGAGGCACTTTCTGAGATTTTGAAACTGTGCAACTTCACAGGAATGAAACACTAGCAAGAATTACATCAGCGGAGCCATTTGCCATCTGTTGTCAGTAACACTATAAAGACCAGCCACCAGATAGCAGTTTCAAGGGTTACAAACACAACATTTTTAAGCATCCACAGACCTCTCAGTTAACTGAGCGGGACAGTTTACTTCGGATATGTGCAACCTGAGGGTCTGCCAATCGTTTTGCAAAGACAACACACCAGAACTGTGAACGGCCACGCAAAGTGGGAGTCTCTCAGTACACAACCATTATACAACGTGGAAAATACATACCAGCCTGTTCTACGTAGGTTCTTACAACATACTCACACAACCATGTCTGCACACCTTCCACTTGCAAATTTAAACCAGCTAGACTTTCTCTTGTTGTTTGTTTTCTCATACTTTCCCCCAAGGGAAGGAGTGTATTCACTGCACTGCTATTATGGAAAGGGACTCAGGTTTGTTTGCTGGGTTTTGGACTGTATTTTTTCTTTGAGGGAAGTAGTTAGGATTTTGTTTCCTGTTTTCCCTCCTTCTAGACCATAACTACATATTTGTGTTAAAGAAAGCAAGGTTTCAGTAACTTGCCTTACCTGTGGCATGGAAAGTGAGGAGGTTATGACAGCCCTTACCTCTTAGATACACACACTCCTCAGTCTGAGTAAAATTCCACCCGTTCCATACATGAGATTTTAGTTATACTGAAGGAGTACAGTTGTTGATCCATCTCATCTTAGAGCTTTGAGTAGCTTTTCTAGATGAGTAGCTTTTCTAGATGTGGGGGCCATGTTCATGATATGTAGTGCTACCCAAATTTTGTGGTTCCACCTTCCAGGCTGCTGACCTCTTGCCTGTAAACTGATTAACATGGAATTCACGGAGGGCAGGGAGATTTCCATCTTCCTAGAGAGACAGATGGAAATTTAAGGCTTCATCAATGCAACTGTTAATCTAGACGTACAGGTTTCTCATCCAGTAACTATTTCTCAGGCTCCAGAATCGTATATACATTGTTACTCACTGAATGTCCTTCCTAGCCTTGCCGTTAGATGGTTGACACATACAAATCTGACTTTCAAAGTGTTCTAAGATCAAAAAGAGCTTGTTACAAGGCTGAATTTAAAACAAGAACCTCAAGTTCTAGGTCAACAGCTGGCCTGCTTCTCAACAGTGAGGTTTGCCTAGGACCTATAAAGGGGCTTAGAAACCTGGAAGCGTAAGCAATCTTGCTCTATGAAAAACAGTTACAGGAACAGACGTCAAGACCTAGTTGTAGCATCTCAATTACAGCATGACACAAACTGAAAAGCACCATTTGCACAGGAAGAGCAAATAGATGACTCCAATATGCTCTTAAAGTGTGCTGTATACTCAACCTATTGCCAATTGTTCCATAATTATTTTAAACATAGGTATATCCAATTAAATAACTAAGTCAAAACTTGGATGATACCTAAAAACAATGGCATCTGTTCCAAAAGAGGAAGGGGATGGAAGAAGAACTATTCTAAACATTCAGTTTGAGAGTAATGAAAAAGTCAGGGGGAAAATGTAGACATTAACTGAAGTGCCCAACAGTACAATGTTTGCTTTGACGTGAAAAACCAAGTCCCATTCATCTAGAGATTTTTATTTAAAAACATCAGCAGAATTGAGAGTCTTCCAAAAAACCCAATAGCATTGTTACAAATGTTTGACTTTCATAAGTGGCTGATAGGAGGGAAAAAATAGAGCAATCTGACTACGGCACATTTAGCCATGAGCAGCTAGAGGAACTAATGAACAACATCATTATTTTACTGAAGGGGATGAAGTAGGTGCTTTAGATAAATGGCAGCAACTTAAAATGCGTTTCAGAAGATAAATTCACTTTCTCTCCATTTACCTGCTAGCATGACAAATTAAGAAAGAAGAGTATAAAAACAGAGCAGGAGGGAAAGCAGTGCAAAAGCTAACTAAGGTGATGCAATGGGCCCTTATCCAAACAAGTGCGTGAACAGAGATTCTTGGAAGTGCTCCTAGTCAAATATAAACCAGGAACACTACACACGCCAGACTCCCTTGGAAATCCACAGTGAAGCATGTGCAGAAGATCCACCTGTCCTAAAATCAGCTCCCTTACCAAGCACCAGGAGCACTGCCATTTGGGAACTAATACAATGTCTGTTCATTTCAAAGCAGTCTAAGTCCACCACGTACTGAATGGCTGAGTTCTCTCTATTGGCCTCTGCTGGGCAGAGCAGCTCTTTGCCTACTGTCAGAAACACCAGTAAATTAACTTCTGCTGAAAGAAGATGAGGGGCGAGTGGCTTTTTTCCCCAAAAAAATCATCATTAGAGACCATGTATTTCTTGTTCTACATTCAGCTCATGATCAGCAAAGAAAGTTTTTACTGAATACTTTTTAAAGAAAGGGTAAGTACTCTGCAGTATAGAAAGTCTTTCATATCTCATCTCTACACCAAAATAATCCAACTAATTATTCTTTCGTGGTCAAGAAGCAACACGTTTACTGCTCCTTTTGTCCCTGTTAAACCATGCTTCTTTTGTTAAACCATGTTTTTGCTCAGTGTGGGTAAACACTTGCTGATGCTGCCTGAGATTTGGCCTTAAAAACGCGGAAGTATTTTTACACAGTATTCCCTCTGCTCTTTAATAGTTCTCAAGTACTTAGCCATTAAAGTCCCAAACTCATGCACCTGTGCAGTGAGACCTCTAAACACACCCTGGAAACAGGCGTTTGGAGATGAGCCTTTCACCGGCATCACCTGCTGAAACAAAGCTGACAGAAATCATTACGCCAGTTCCTCTCTGCTTCAGGACAGGTTTGGGCTAGCCTAAAACCTGGAAAAGTTACCTGCACGCTTGGGAAAAGGGCAAAAAACCCTGTAGCAGCCTGCTCTGGTTGACCCTGCTTTGTGCAGGGGGGTCGGACTGGACCATCTCACTCACGCGATCCTGTGACAGCAGGGCGCTGGGAGGATGGCAATGAAGAGCCGGGGCTCGCCCGGTCATGACCGCAGGCGACTGAGCAAAGTTTTCTTGGAAAGGCCCAAGTGTTTTGCGGCGTTTTGACCGCTTCTGGAAAGCCTAGCCGCGG